AGTTGGAGGAGGTCCGATAAGAACCCCTAGCGGTCACGATCGGAACATCGAGAACCGAAAAGCTCCCAAAAGCCCATCTTAAGCAGCGCGCCCCCAATTTTCTCAGATCCACTTCCATTGGGTTGTACACCTCAGGAATGACGTAGCATGGGCAATCGCGGGAGGAACCAACGGGTAGATACGTACCACTCTCGCTAGGATCCTTCGAACTCGAAAAGCGCCTCTGCGAGAACGCGCCCTTGAGATGACTGACTTTGTCTGCTGAGAAAGACATCGTGTGTGTAGAGTTTGGTGGTTGCGCGAAATCAAGCTTTGCCTAGCTTTCGATGATGGAGGGGTGGGTGCGCAGATCTGCGTAGTGGGGTGTGGAAGGAAAGACGGCACACGGGAGGATGTTCGCGATAGAACAACGTGAACTCTAGAGGATGAGGGGCTCAAGAAGATCGATCGAGGGGAGGTTCAAGGGCCAGATAATATGTGTATGTAGGGTAGGTAAGGCGCATCGGCCCTTTATAACTCGCCGTACGAAGTAAACACGCGTGTCGTGGTGCCCTCTCGCACGCCGCTCGCACGCCAGGTAGGGCATCCACCCACAAACGCATGCATGCACGCATCCACAACTGCACATGTGCGAGCTGCGTTGGTAGCTAGCCCAATGCCGTATGTAACATTCCTTCTTCCGCGTCCTGCTTCAGCCACCGGGGATAACACAGACATGCCTTGCGACGTTGCTCAGACAATTCCCAATCCCTAATCAATTGCCTCACGGAGATGATGGAGGCTTACGTCTCGGATCGGCGCGTGCCTTTAGCCTCTAGATCACAAAGGTCCTCATCCTGGGTTCACTTGTTCTTCACCGCTTGACGGTATACGTAGCGTACGGTAGTTAGTGCTGCCGACCGCATCGAGGCCGATGTAAGAACTTAGTCCATGCCACATGGGACGGATATGCAGGTCGGCATTGGCGTGGAGAAGACGCCATGCACGACGAGCGACACCGAAGGCCAGCCATGCTTGCTGCCCATGCAGACCCCTCCAAAGGGGTGGCCAAACAACCCCCTGTCAGCTTACGCCTCAGCACCGCCAGATGTCACAGCTGCAGCTGCAAATGTCATCACCGATATGAGGCTTGTAACACTGGTCGCTGATCCGCTGTTCCGTGGCGCCCAAGGGGAATAATGCCTCACCCAGCCACAGTGGCAGCCCTACGATCGTGGGCCCACTCATGTTTCCTGCCCACGGTCCTGGCAGTCGGTTCATTGAACGACCCGACTATTTCCGATATATCTTCGTTCTGAGAAACCACGCAAAAAAAGACTTGAGACGAGTTTCAGCTTACGAATAACACAAGTGATACGGAGTAAAAATATCCATTCCTATATACAGACATGCAAAATTACTCTCATCATATTCCTACAGCAGCACCGCCTAACTGAAACCCAAACACAAGGAAAGGACATTGCACAAAACAAACAGCAAACTACTCTACAGGCTCATCCTCAAGCAACTGCTTAAAGCTAAACGGTTCAAACGCCACACCATCACCGATGAAATGCTTGCTCATAGCCTCGACCCAGTGCAGACGCAGCGAATGCAACATGGCACTTGTACCCTCCATGACACACAGCACAGCAACGGTGAGTGCGAACCAGAAGTAAAAGACAAAGACCATGATGAAGGCGCCGCCAACGCCGGTGAAGGCGAACGCGTTCTTCATGGTCATTTCCCAGAGGACGATGGACAGACGTTGGTGGGCAAGGGAGAGGGCCCAGAGACGGAGGTACGAGGCTGTGTGGGAGACGCAGTTGAGGCAGAATTCTGAAAGAGGGTGTTAGTAGATGTTGCAACAGGTGGAGTTGGGAAAACTTACCGATGGTGTGAATGACCTGGTGGATCATGACTTCACTGAACTCAAACTCCTCGTGGTCTTCGCCGTGGCCAATGTCCTGGGTAATCATGGCAATGCCGTCGTCGTCGTCTCCGTAGCTATCACGTCCGTTGACATGACCGTTCTCATCATCGTCGTCGAGCGCGCTGACTCGCGAGTTCTCGCCGATGCCGCGGTAGCCCATGGCGCGAGCCTTGTTGTGCTCGTAGCGGAGGTAGAACGGCTTGAGGAAGAGCAGGACAGGAACGCAAGCAAGCGCCAACAAGAGGAGAACCACTTGGATGCCAGCTTGACCAGGGTAGAGTGGCTGGGTGCCAGCCTCGAGTGTACCGGGGCTCAAGAACATGTAGATCAACATGTTGAGCAGACTGGGCGGGCTCTCGCCACGCGCAGGCCAGTCAATGCACCATTTGTACACAATGGTAAAGGCGAGGTAACCGAAGATGGACTGGAAGAAGATCATACCGGGAACGAAGTTACCCCAGATGTCAATCTTGGTCTTGAAGTAGCGAGCGTTGACAAGCGACCACATCAGGGAGAAGGTCATGTGGGTCCAACCGAGCAAGATACTGAGCTTCATCTTGTAACTGTTGGAGAACAGCAGGTCATTCTCGGTGTCGTGCCAGCGGTAGTCCAGACCGAAGGGGTAGGTGTAACCTTCAACGCGGCTCGAGGTTGGGCCCTTGCCGTCGTTGTCCCACACCCACATAGACTTGAACCAGGGCAGTCCGAGAGAGAAAGCGTCGCAGTAGAGAAGACCGGTGTAGATGGAGAAGAGACCCATCATGAAGACGATGTAACGACCGTAGAACATCATGGAGAACAACTCATCGAGCTTGCTGCGCTCAAGTCGCTTCTCGAAGTAAATCATGGCGCAAGCTGCGAGAAGCATAATGACACCGTGTCCAGCATCACCGAACATGACAGCGAACATGAAGGGGAACGTAACGATGGCTGGCAGCGCAGGGTTGACCTCGCGGTACTTGATTGTTCCGTAGGCATCGATGATGGTCTGGAAACCCACTGTGAACCTGTTCGACTTGAAGTATGTCGGTGGCGTCTTAGTGGTCTTGATCTGGTTGACAATGGTGGGTACTGACAGGCCAGCACGCTCGTTGACATCTGACAGGGTCGACTTGATCAGACCTAGCGAGTTAGTAGGGGCCCATGCCTCAGCAATGAGCGTCTTGCGCTGGTGGTCGTAGGAAAATTTGTTCAGCGTCTCATAGGTAGCCTTCTCTTTCTTGATGACGACCATCCAAGCTGCGAGGTTGCGTCCTATCGCGGTCAACTCGGCATCGAGGGTGGACTTGGTGTTCTTCAGGACGCTAGCCAGGTCACTCAGGCGGGTGTTGACTTCGCGAATCTGGTCGCGGCGGAGTTCGCTGTTCTCGTCGACGCTGTAGAGGTCGGCGCCGAGCGACTCTGAGATCTTGCGGATCTTTGCGATGATCTCTTTGCCGTGCGCGAAGATGATGAAGACGTTCTTGTTGGTTTCCTCGTTGTTCTCCGGGTTGATGATGGCCTCGGGGATCTCCGACTGGTTCATGTACAAGTTACCGCGGAGAGTACGCCACAGGATGCGCTCGAACGCGGCAATGCGTTCGCGGGGAATGACACCAGCGACGAAGCCGATGTTCATGACGGTGAAAGAGCGCTCGGCACCCGTGTCACCCTGGCCGTTCTGCTCAACATCCTGGAGCAGCGGCGCGTCGTCATCATCAACAGAGTCCCTAATCTGCTCAGTCTGGCCACGGGCCCGGTCGAAGAAGCCACCAGCCTCTCTCAACACCCATCGCCACTCTGTGAGCTCCACCTCGCGCTTCTTCAGGGTCTCGTAGCTCTCGTTCAACGAAGAGATTCTCTGCTCCAAGCTCTGGCTCTTGTCCGCAAGCTCGTCAATCTCGGAGGCGGAAGGCGCAGTGAAGGGGTTGTTGAAGTCGTAGATGGAGCGCATCGAGATGTCCGACTTCTCCATCTGGGCGCGAAAGTAGCGGAGCTGGCGTTCCACGTTATCGAGGCGGCGAATCTCCTGGGTGAAAGTACGTTGGAAGGCGGTCGTATCGGCGTTGAGCTAGCACATCTTGTCAGCTTCCCATGCCATCACATCCGTCCCAGAGCTGCCAGGGAAGCTCTAGGACATGTCTGCCTATGCTCACATCTCTAAAGTCCATGACACCAAGCTCTCCGAGGCCTGAGACGACCTCGCGGCCAATCTCGTTGGCAATGTACAGCTGGGTCAAGGACATGTCCGCGGAGCGGAACATGGTGTCCTTGTTGGGCGCCATGATGGCGGATCGGGAGACAAGACTTCGGGGGAGGTGTGCTTGTCCCGGAATTCGATGGGGGCGGGTTATGCGAGATGGAGGTTGATGGAGCGAGAGCTGCCTCGAACGCCTGCGCGATGATGATGCGGCGAACCCAGTGCCAGCTCTTAGCGTCTTGACGCGCCAAGCCCCGCTACTGCATCCATGCCAACCACACCCATTCACCATCTAAAAGCAATTCACACGCAATACAAGCAATACAATGAGGTCTGATGTTGTTCGCCGTCGCGAGGTCGTGGTGGTGAACCCAATATTTATTTATCTAAGTAGTTGACGAGCAACAAAGCCTTACACAGGCATTCGCCTACTTGACGTCCCTCCAACCCCGATACATTGCTGCTTGCCATAATGCAAGAAGCCAGGAGAAGACCGGAATATCAGATAACGAGGAATCAAAGTTTAGCTTTATTAGGACAGAGTAGAAATATCCAGACTAAGAAAGATACAGCCACCGAACGCAAGACGCAGAACACCATGCAAACGTAAGCAGATCATCTCTTGTGTAAAGGAGCCACATCGTAAGCAGCTGAGAAAAGACCGATACCCGCCAGTACATTTGATAATATGAATGTTTTTGTGTCGCTTGCTGTCGTGACCGAGGGAAAGAACCAAGTTACGCTGTCGAATGTGCTTCGCCTAGAACACCAAATATCCCAATCAAAAGCCAGATGCGCCATGCTCGACTGCAAGGAAGGAACTGTATAGTTGGACGTAACATGTCGAAATGCAAAACCGATAATCAGAGCGATTGTGAGATGGGACATGGGTGGCAAGGATCTAGTCGTCTATTGTTGCGGGTAGAATGTCGCGGGCTGCATTTGCTGTGGGTAGTAGTAGGCGCCGTCCGGACCAGGTGTCATCATGCCTCCCATCCCAGGAACGGCATAGCTAGGCTGAGCATAGTTCTCTACGGGCGGCGCGGGGTAAAGCTGGGCGGAATCCACGTAGTATGTCATGCCGTTTTGCTCGTAAGCCACCATGTTGGGAGGGCCAGCAGGTGCTGGTGGAGCCGCGGGAGGAGGAGGAGGAGCAGACACCGGCATGACATAGCCAGGCTGCTGGGCACCAGGAACGAACATTGGCACCATGCCGGCAGGAGCCATGTATTGGGGCTGGGCGCCGTTTTGAGGATAGTAGTATCCCTGTGGCACAAAGGCTTGTGGCTGGAAGCCAGGCTGCGCGTAAGGCTGGAATGCGGGAGCGTGGATGGCTCGTTCGGGAATGTTGGGTGTGCCGGTTGACACTTGGCTTGGGTACGAAGGGTGACGTCCATGCTGATAGTATGGCTGCTCGACCGCAGGAGCAGCTCCATTGATGTGCGCGGGAACTTGCTGATGGAAGGGTTGCTGCTCTTGTTGTTGCGGGGGGTTGAAGCTCATAGATGCAGGCGATTCGATACCAGCAACAGAGACAGTCTTCTGCGGGCGGGGCTGGTGCATCGGAAGTGAACCCTGCCAGTTCTCCCGGTAGGTAGGCTTCTGTGGAAGAGGGTAAGGTGGCTGCACAGCGCCGTTCGTGGGCGAGATCATGGACGGTCCATTGGGCATCCGAGGGCCGCCAGGCGGGAGGCGCACGACAGGACGACTGGGATCAACGAAGCCACCGTTACGTGACATGATGGAACCAGCCGGAGAGACGAGATTGTCCCGGCCCATCTCGCGTGCAATAGACGACCGCCTGCTCATGGCTACACTTGGCGAGTATACACTGCCTCCGTACGCGCTTGTCCGTCTGCTTGAGAAGCCTCCGCCAAAGGATCCAAATCGACCGCGACCCCGGCCGAAGCCTTGCTGGTTGGGTCGAAGGGCCCTTGGGATGAAAATGAACGAGCGCTCTGTGGTGGGGAAGATATAACGCGGTGGAGCCGGAGGTAGGGATATGCGGACTGGCTTGTCGCGGCGGAGGGGTGGCCGGTGGTTGGGCAGACGAGTGTGCGACTTTATGGGGACGTTCTGGAAGTGTATAGGGCCCTTCATGTTCGGCAGGAAGACGCGTACCATGGCATTGTGCGTATGCGTCGTGGTGGAGAAGTTGCGAGCTGGCGGTGGCTTTTGGCTAGGACCTGGCGGCACTCTCGATGCGAACATGGGACCATTGGAAGGATGGTGTCCGGCGTGAGCGTGAGAGCCGGGCGCGTTGACTGTCTCGTGCAGGTCGTGCTGCCAGGGGGAATCCGTGGCTTCCTGTGGCTGCGGCCGCATGCTAGAACATGTGTTAGTTGAACGTCTCCTTCTTGCTCTCCGGGTCTGTACGTACTTGGCTGGGGAAAAGGGCCCGCCGATGGGAGCACCCCGCCCACGCCCACGGCCTGCGGGCCTGAAGCCATTCTGGCCGGGAGCATGCCGTGAGTCGTGCATGAAGAAGGCGCCGCGGTTGGGGATGAAGGCGGGATCCGAGTCGCGCTTCTTCTTGTACTCCTCATGCTCCCGCCGCCGCCGCTCCGCCAGCGTCTCTGCCCGCGATTGCGGCGCACCAACGGCGGGTGCGGCTTCCACTGCTGCCACGCCCGTCTCGAAGTCGACCACTTCCGCCTCCTTTCCGTCCTCGCCAATCTTCAGGCCATTCATCATGATCTCCGTTTCCTTCATGGTGGAGAAGGCCACATCGGAGCGGGCGATGGGCGGCGATGATTGGCGATTGCTTGCATCCTGCCGGGCCTTTGCATCACGCGCCCCGTTTGCTTTCCGCTTGGGCTTTCCTTGTGTGAGGGAGGGCGCGCTATCGACTTCGCTCAGGTCGCTGTTGTCGGCGTCGGCGTCCTCGTCGACATCGCTCAGCAGGGAAGCGTCGCTCTGCGAGTCGTCGGCAAGGGTCGCCACTGACTGGCTCTCATCCTCGTCATCTGTCCGCCTGCGACGCGCGATGTTGGTGGTCCTCTTGCGGGCGGGAGCCATGATTGCGGGGTCTGGGTAGTGGCGGACGATGGAGGCGCGATGTGGTGGGCGTGGGGTGGTCGTGGATCGGCTCGTGTACGGCGGAGCGATGACTCGGCAGCGGAGGAGGTCCGGGAAGAAGAGGCCAGCGACGTGGAGAGCGCCGAGGGTGCGGGTCCAGAGGGGGCAGCGAGTGCAGCGATTGCGGTCGTGATGGGCGAGGGCGAGTGTTGGACGGAGGGCTGGAATCGGATCGGCCAAGGTTGGATGATGTCTGATGCCTGTGAAAAGATATGACGGAGCTTGCCGTTGCGGGAAAGCCTGGTCAGCGCGGAACCGGTTGATGCGCGCTACTCCACAACAACACGTCTCAGAACCAGAACAAAGCTGATGATCAGGCACAGAATGGTGCGGAAAAGACAATGATCAAAAGGAGGGCGCCGAGTGCCTCACTCGTTTACCACGTGATTGCTTTTCTCAAACATGCAGCCTTGAAACTGTTTGGGCCATAGCTGCAGGTTCCAGGCTGCGAGCGACGCTATCGACTGCAACTGGACATTTAGTCTACTCCCCAAGGGCGCGTCATCACTCTAGGTAGCATTGCGAAATCAGGTAACAGATCAATAAAATGCAAGTATGTGTGAATAGAATTAGGATGCTATCCATCTGCACAATTACTATCATCCGACACATACCACTCCTAGCCCGTCCATGTCTCCGTAGAGATGCATCCCACCCATATCCATAACTATCCCTATTTGCGCCCTTCAAATGCTGCGCTACTAACAAACGCCTGTGAATGCTCCGGCCTGCGCGCGTGGGCAGGCCAACCGCCCGGGGTATGCATGCATATGCTCGAATGACAACTAGGAAAACATGAAGAAGAAAGGAAAGCGCTTGTTATACAGATCCACCATATTCCTCCAAGAGACACCGCAGATTTTGCAATGAGATCATTGCCCGATCATCTTGGGGTCGTGAATGTAGGTGCAGTTTTCGCCTTTGTTGCAGAGACCCTTGGCAAAGAACTTGCATGCCAGGACCTTGTGTGGCTTGTGATCTCCCCGATTCTTGGGCCGCTTTCCCTGGTTGCGATCGTTGTTGCCGTTGCCATTGCCCTCATCGCGTTGCCGCTTGGTGCCACCGTTCGTCTGCTGGTTGTACTGCGGCTGCATCTGGGGTTGGTAGGTGGACGCATCCTGCATCTGTGGAGTCCATGCTGCAGCTTCAGGCTGCTGAGGCTGCGGTGGGAAAGCGAATGGGAATGGAGGGAAGCCAGTTGGGAGCGGTGGTGGTGGAGGAAGAGCGCCGCCTGTCGCTGCCTGCATGTTGGCAATGAGTGCAGCAATATCCAGGGGCATGCCTGGCTGCTGTGGCGGTGGCTGCATTGGGAAAGACACAGGTGGGGGCTGAGGAGGGGCTTGGCCATTGCTGATGGAGTTGAGTATGGTCTGAAGGCCGGCGGGGTCGAATGGAGCGGCTGTTGACGGAGGAGGTGGGGTGTAAGCCTGTTCGACAGGAGCCGGAGTAGCGGCAGGCGGTTGACTGGTTCCGGAAAGCTGTTTGATTATGTTCTCCAATTGACTAAAGTCGGGTACACCTGCAGACATTGGCGCTTGTGGGCACCTGTTCTTTACTATATCGGGCGGAGTACCGAAACTGACCACGGTGCCAGTCGATGTGTTGTCTTGCCCTTGTTCCACCGGCTCTTGGGGTGACGGTGGGATGTCGTCAGGACTTGAGTAGTAGACCATCAATGTACCGTTCTCGCGCTGTACGTTGGCCTCCTTTTCAGGGCATGACGGCTCCTTCTCTCCGCCACCATAAGGCGCGTAATTGCGCTGACGCTCGTCTTGAGGCACCACGCTGAAGTCGACTTGGGACGGCGGGGGCCATGATCGGCTGTCGAAATCCATCTCCTCATCATCGTCGTCGAGATCAAGCTCCTTGTGCTGCTTGAACATGTGTCCTTCTCCACCGAGGTCACCAGCATCCCGAACAAGATTGTCGCCCTTGTTGTCCATCTCTTCGTCATCCGCCTCGTGATCAAAGTACTTGACCTCCACCAGCGACGTTTCAGGCCGCCAAGTAACGCGAAGATGTCTTCGAGCTTCCTTGCGCAGACGCTTCGCCTTCTCTTCCTGTGTTTCCGCTGGAACTGGCTTCTCGGATTTGACTGGCGCAGCTTCCGGCTCTTTTGACTTCTGGAGTGAGGCCATCGTTTGAGCAAACGAAAATGCGGGCTTCGATGTTGTCGTTGCCGCTGGCTTTTTGTCTTTCGGCGCGGAGACAGCAGCCTTAGGCGCAGCAGCCTTCGCGGGGGCTGGTGCAGGCGCCGACTTCTTACTTGCCGCGTTGAGCGAGGCAAAGATGCCCGAGGGCTTGTTGGTAACTTGACTAACACGGGTCTTGACGGGAGCAGGCGCCGGTGCCGCCCTCTCGCCAGGTCGCTTCTGTGTTGTTGTGTTGGAACCAGTGGTTGCAGACCTCGAAGCCAAAGTGGACGCGAGATCCTTCTTGACAGCGTTCACAGGAGCGTCGGGTGCCTTTGGTTTCTTCGTCAAAGGGTTCTCGGTCGACGATCGGCTCGCGGCATCTGGTGCAGGTCGTTTGATGCCCTTGTTTTCTGTGGGCTCGCTTCGTGTCGGCGAGCTTGCCTTGGCCTTTTTGGAGTTTGCGGAAGCACCATCTATGATTTGTTGTATGAAAGCTTTGTGCTTGTCATTTGCGTGTTTCTTCATCGAAACAAGTGCCTTTCCAAGCCTAGTCTCCTCAAGGAGCTCAGAAGTCAAGGTACCACATCGAGAGAGCACTTCGTATATGACCGCAGACAAAGGCCCATCGTAGTCCTTAATTTTGAACCGGTTTGCCAGAAACTGATAGCACATATACAAGAAAGGCTTAATCAGTCCCAATTGATATAGCACATCGGGATGGGAGTGCTCAAGCGCAGCTTGAAGGGCAGACTTGAGCAGGTCACGCTGACTGGTTACCCGGCTTTTCAGCACGGGCAGCTCACCTAGCTTCTTCTGTTCCTCCGCTTCCGTCACAGCTTTGCTGTCGGCTCGCCACCGCTTATGGATTGTATCGAGTACTTCCCATACCTCTCGCATGCTGTTTTTGATCTTGTCAGAGCTAGGCGAAGACGAAGAAGGATGCCATGTAGCTTTGACGACATCATAACGAACAGCCGCATCAGGATCATCTGGTCTTGTCTCTGGAATGGGCATCTCCTCTTCTTCTGAAGAGTCACTATCGTAATCCGATGAGTCGGTAGTACTTTCACTATCGCTCGCCTGCCTCGTAGGCTTCTTTGTGGATTTGAAGGCTCTCGACTGAGACTTGGCAGCCGACAGACTTGCACGAAGCTTCTTGCTGTCTGCACCAGCCTTCTTCAGGTCTTTGAGCGATTGCCGAGGGACGTAGACGGGGAGCGCAGCTGTGCACATGTTAGAGGATGCTTTAAGCGCAATATTTGTAGTATATTCAGGCTTACTTCTATTGGTTGCGAGATGAAAAGGTTCGTTGCCCAATGTCACAAACTTGTTCAAAGGAGTAGAATTGGTAGCTTTTGCTAGTGCAGCCTGGTCAAGAACGTAGAGACCCCCCGACTTCCTTCCCTTTGGCATGTCATATTCAGGCACGGGTACTGGCTTTGCAAACGTAGCAGATGCACGCTGCTGAGCAAAGTTGTCTGCCAAGGTCTTCGGTGCCTTTGGAGAATTAGCATTTGATAGATGACAGGAGGCAATGGTGAGGCTTACTTGATAAGGAGATGCAGTAGGGCGGGCTTGTTGCAGTGAGGGCGTGTTATGCTGCAGAGCTTGTGGTGTCACGGTACTTGCATGGCCCTGGGGAGTTTGGGTTCGCATGGGCATTGGATATGGCGACTGTTGCTGCTGTCGAATAGCATTGGGATCCATGCCTAGCGATGGGTCGACATTCGATTGCTGTCCGTAACCGCCCAAGGAGTTTTGCTGGCCAAACTGTCCATACTGGTACGGCGACGCGGTGCGAAGACCATGTGATTGAGTGGTGTATGCTTGGCTGCCGCCGGTAAAGGGTTGTTGTGCGTAAGCGCCATGGTGCCAGCTTTGGGCTGAGGTATTAGGTGGCAACGCCGAGTGTTGATGTAGCTGGGCATCCCATGATGGGGTACCGTAGCGGTCGACACCAGGGAACAGGTGCTGATATGACGGGTCGGTGTAGACGTTCTGGCCTTGCAGAGGCACCTGGTCAGTCGGCACGTGATTAGCCGCCATGTTGTGGCTGGTGAAGAGGATTTTCTTGGCTGGCCAAAGTGTCAGCTGTCAGCTGCAACTGCAGGGGTGTGATTGGCGGATGACGCACAAGTGTCTGAAACCAGCGAACGGAATGAATTAGGCGACTATGCAGCAGCACTAGGCGCAAAATGGACTGGCGCAAAGTCACAAGTGTGAAGGGTTGCCGATTCGGGGAAGGGAAAAAAGGTCGATAAAACTTCCGGTTCGGGCGGTAGTGCTGTTGTGCTGTCTGAAGGCCGTCGCAGGTCGCAGGCCCTCGGATGTGGTGGGAGATGCAACAGACCTGGCTCACAAGGCAGTACTCGTGTCCCGACGCCCGCGATGCCGTGTCGCCCAGTCCACGATGCGTACAGTAGATACGGCTTTTATGGAGATGGCACTTTGCCTCGCGTATTATGCGATGAGGAGCCCACTGCTGGGCGCGTCACTTGACGTACGTTTGCGCGCACCAGAGCACAGCACGTGTTGTATGTCTGCGACAGCGACAGCGGCGAGCAGTTCTCTTCGGCCAGACTCCCTGATGCGCAGCGCGTCGAATCGAAGACGGAGCTGTATTAGTAGCAGAAATCGAAGATGATTGTCACTCTGCCCTCCACAACGCAAGCTTCCTCACAAACGCCGCCGCCAGCCTGAGCGCGCACTTCCCCCAAAGCAAGGACCCGAAGGTTGAATCTAGCCTCAGAATCAGATGCCCTTATTAGGTGGGCGAGAGTTCACTGAGAAGTAGCATGAGTGTCA